AAAGAATAACAAATAAAACTAAAAGAATGAAAGAAAAAATTGAAGGGGGAAAAAGAAAGAGAAATAAGTTAAAGATAATGTTGGAAAACTAGATTAAAACAAACCAAAAAAAAAATTAAATATAAGGATTTAGGCCACATTACATGGATTTCAAAATCAATGGTCGGTCAGTTGGATTTTTTTTTTTTTAATATACAGTAATTAATAGACTTATGTTCATATTTAAGGCCATATATGTTAATTTTTCGCTTTGCATAACATAGAATCTGAAAATTAGGTCAGCAATTGATTTTTTTTTATCAGTTCTATCGGACAATTCCAGAAATAAGGTTGCTATTGGTGATACTGGATTAATTTATGGGGGAAAATTAAATGACAAAAATAGAACAATTGACATAATTAGAACTTAAAAAAAAAAAAAATTCAAAAATTTGAAAAAATGGGTTAGCGGGCAATGCAAAACAAAAAATTAACTTTTTGTGGCCTTAAGTTTAGAATACATATAAAATAATTAACTTAGATCGCTTATAAAGTTAATTTAGTGCATAAAGATTTTTATTCCAGAAATATAGTTAATACAAGTATATATAGCTTTTACATTACTGATTTTGGCTTATGTAGACCAGTGTCTTAAGATTCAAGTTCTGTGGATATTTTTGGTGTACTTCATTATATTGCCCAGAGTAGGGCTGTTAAGCAGCCCACGCAAACTGATAGACCGTTGGTCCTGTTTTTTTTGGGACAGACCAAAAGGACCGTCGGTCCTAATATCAGTTATTATTAAAATTATTATTATAGATAATTATATAATCTTATTTTGTGATATTTGATCTGATATTAATTTAAATCATGTATATAAATAAAATATCTAATTATAGTCGTGAGAAAACTTTTTATTGAGTTGATATAAAGTCATATATTAAGTAGTGAATATTTAATTACATGTTTGGTGCTTATATATAACTGTTCTTAATTTGAAAAACTTAATTTCTTTAACTCTGACCTCATATAGTGACTTTTTCAATTACTAATTTAGTTAGATGTGATATTTAATTAACCAAAAAATAAAAGTCTTAAACTAAATCATACAATACAGTACTCTTTACTATATATCATATATTATTCTATTAGGTTAATTTTTAGAGGTTTAAACAATAATAATAATTTGAGAGTTTTTCTTATTTAATACAGTATCTATTTTATTATAATAACGGGTTTTTTTAATATAAAAATTTAATATATTTAATTAGAATTTTTCCTAGATATACAAGTTTATTAAAAATATACCTACAAAAATTATATGCGTGATTCTTAAAATTCATGCATATTTCATTACTAATACGTAATAATAGACAGGTTTAAATATTTTGTTAGATGGTTTTCATTTAATAAAACAAGTAATAAACTAATAATTTGAATGAAGTTTATAATAATGATGAGTAATAATACAATATATTGATGCAACTTATGTAGTATTTAATTAGTCTAATAATCAGTCTGTCCAGTCTCATACTGATCAGTTCAAATCAGTCCTGGACCACAGTCCGGTCCAACTTTTTAAAAGACCGTTAGTCTTTGAACTAAGACAGACCGGACAGACCAATTAACAGCCCTACTCCAGAACTATTATATACAAAAGGAAAGTGTATACTTAAAAATCAGATATTTATTCTTTTGAGACAATTATATCTGAAATTTTCACTAGATATCCTCTATATCATAGTATTCCATATGATTTTAGACTAGCTATACAAATTTGTGAAAGTTGCCAACCTGAAATCAAGTGTAAAGTTCCTCAATTATTTTGGATTTGATGAATAAATACTTAAATGCTGAGTCTAAAACAGGCCATCTGTTAAAGTATTAGAAGATGAGCTAGAACAATTTATAAAAATTTAAGAGATAAAGAAACATAGTGATGCATAAAAAAAATAAAAATAAAATAATTTAAAAAAAATAAAAAGCTATAATTTAAAAGAAAATAATTAATTAAAAAATAAGTTTAAATAAGTAATTTACAGTAAAATAAATAATTTAGATAAAAAAATTTAATGATAATTAAAAAAATAAAAAGGTTAAAAAAAAATAGATTAAAAATAAATGTTTAAAAAAAATGTTTAAAAAAAAGTGACGATAAAAAAAAAACAAACCAACACAATATATAAGATTTTTGCTAGGAAAATCACTCTTCGGGTTAGGCTAATTCAGAAAGGTTAGACCAGAATGCTGGTTCTTATTCATATGTAAAACCCTTTTACTTTACTGATTTGATAGTTTATTTAATAAACTATCAAATAAATAAAGCAAAAAGCAATTTATATATGAATAATCAATATACTAAATTCTAACTTTAAAGAGCTGTTAAAATGATTTTATAATATGAACTTTCTCATCCTAATACTAGCGATTATCCAAATATTTTAGTGATCTGAATTATTCAAATAATTCAGATAGGACTGAAGAGATGTTAGAAGTACAAACATTCATAATCAAAATACTAAATTCTAACTTTAAAGATTTGTTAGAATGATTTTATAATACAAACTTTCTCATCCTAACACTAATGATATCTAAGTGATTTGAATTATCCAGATAATTCAGATAGGAATGAAGTAATGTTTAAATGATTTTAGAATACAAAACTTTCTCATCCTAATATTAACCATAAAGAACTGTTAGAATGATTATGTTGCTTTATTTATTGTATTAATTGTTGCTTTATTTATTATATAAATTGTTCTATACTACATAGATGATTGATTGCTAAAACTTACATGACTACTGTCTATATATGCCATAGAAATTAGTTTCAGCTGTGCTAAAAATATTTATAGCTGTTTTATAAATTCTGGGACACTCTAAAAAAAATTTGCTGAAGTCTATTCAGCCGAATTCGATAAGCTATTTATCTTAGTGCTATATAGTATAAATGTATAATACATATATATTTGTTACTAAGATTATTTGTTGAAAAATTAGTTAAAAGAACTTAGAAAACTTAAGTTAGAGTAATTGCTAAACGTTTAGGTATTAATAGGTCTTCTGTGGGTTGATTTCTCAAACAATTTCAAAGGTATGACAGTGTTGATGAATTACCATTACTATTATACATACTTTAAACTTTATTATAATTCTTAATACATTGTTGACAAATATTAATAAAATCTTCAATTTGTGTTGCATTTTTTTACAACCCTGATTATATTTAAAAATTTTTTTATTAGTGCCTATTTGTGTAATACTGTATAGAGTGTTACGTATTAAAAAGGCAAAATTTCAAATAAACAAATTTGCTATACTATAAGTTACCAAAGATAATTAAAGATTCACAAAACGAACTTGAAGTTTATATATTTATTAAGAAAGTTCAACTTATGTTCAAACGTTTTTAGTTAATTGGCAAGAACAGTTTTTAAGATAAATTTTTGTATTGTATATATTGGATAAGGCAAACAAAAAAAGTTGAAATAGTTGATATTGTAAATGTAATATTATATTAATTAAACAATGTGCTTTAATAATAGTAACTCATCAATTGAACTCTTTCCAACGATCATCTGTACCAAAAATCCAAACACATTTTTTTGTAAAAACACAATAGCTTTTAGTAAAATACAGAGGGCATACTAGTCGCTATAAGTCGGCAGTTGTTATTTAGAGGTAGTTCTTATATGCTACCTGCTAACTTCTTTAGAGTTTATCACTTACTGGATGCACAGCACTTGTCATTTAGAAGTAGTTCTCATATGCTACTTGCCGACAAGCCCAGAGTTTATCACTCACCGAAAAAGGAGTATAGATGCCCCACCCCTTTTCTAGAAGAAGATTTAGAAGGTTTTGAGTCTTTACATGGATGTAACTACTTTCCTTGGGTACAAGTGGTCTTTTCCTAGGTGTTTTTTGCTTGGCTGGTTTTTCTCCAAAATTTTCGACAAAAAGTAGGCGATTTGGCTTACCCCTTCAAAAGATCGGCATTGTTTATCTCCCAAATTTGGAAGTACCCAGGAATGCAATCACGTGTCTTGTTTATCAGTGGATATGTGACGCAATGTAGTCTATGGATACAGGAACTACACGTGACTAGGATCGGGTTTCTAGTAGCGTCCGGAGGCGGTTGGTAGTCGGATAATATGTTAGATTTTGTAGTCAAGATATACAAATGTTGCAGTTGTTATAAAATTTTTTCTTAAACCTGGCACGGGTTATAATAGTGTATTTTCTTTTTCCTTTTTCTTTCATTCCATTTGTACTGCTTCTTGATAGAGGTAGTTTCTTCTTTGTTGGCCCTCAGGCTTTTCTCTTTGTTTTTCTTTTTTTACATTTCATTGTATCCCTTTTATTTTGTCCTTTAAAATTCTCCCTTCATTCTATTTGTTTTTTTTTTTTAGTTAGTTAGTTTTTTGTTTTGTTTTCTTGATATTATTGGTGGTTTTGTATTGGATATAAGATCATCACTTTTTTTTGCTCTTAGTAAAGAAAGGGAATATGAAGAGAAAAGCTTTGACGGGCTGACAAAGTTTATCTAACTTGTATACAGGTTGGTGCGACATGTCGCATTTGGGCACGTTAATCGTAGCCGGTAATGTCAAGCTTGCAATCACTAGACGTCTTTTATGATTATGAATGATAAATGTATTGTTCAAGAGAGTTCAACTCTCATCTAAATATAGTCTTAAATAAATTGAGCACTGGCAAAACTGTCAAAGAATTAAAAAAATAAAAAATAAAAATAATAGTAATTCAATAATTTTTTATATACTGATTACACATTTATTATACCAAAATCCAGCTATAAGCATCAATTTTTTTGGCAATCCAAAACAAATGCTGAAATTTAAAACATATGCTGTGATCTAATTTATTGAGGCCTAAGAATTAGCAAAAAATTAAAAACTAGAACCCAAGCAACGCCGGGTCCTACATGCTAGTATATATTATATAATATTACAAAAAAAATATAAAATATTTCAAAATAATTTGAAATAATTCAAAATAAGGGGCTACCAGAAATTAGCTAATTTAAGAAAAGGTGAGGGGTTAGCTGGGATGTTAGGTATAATTCCGGCTGGAATTAACAAGTTCCGGCCAAAATTATAAAATTTTTTAGCCCAAAATTATATATTTATTAATAAAGTTTAATAATATATAACTTTTGTTCTACTAGGCCAAATGAATAATTTAACTACCAAAATGATCCTCTCAAATAGGAGATTCTAACAAGCCCAAAATCATAAAAATCTAATTACTAAATTCTGAGATCGATCTATATTTGTGTATTATTATATATACTATACTATAGTAATATATAATATTTATACAGTATAATAGTATACAAGTCTAGATTGATCTCGAGATCTAGTAATTGAATTTTTATAATTTTAGGCTTGTTAGAATCCTCTCTTTGAGGGGGTTATTTTGGTAGTTAAATTATCCAAATCAGTTTAATAGAACAAAAGTTATTTAATATTAAATTTTAAAATTTAATAATAAATAACCTTTGACCTGCAGGTCGATAGCATAGTAGTTATGCTTCCAGGTTGCAAATCGGAAGGTTGCCGGTTCAATTTCTCCCAGCGGTGAAATAATGAAACCCCAAATATGGAAGTAAAACACTGTGGGATACAGGGAACTTATTCGGGGAATAGTTATTCCGAGAAGTTATAGCTGTGAAACAAGGCATGTTAGAACCCCGATTTGGAATAACCAAAGTCATGAGACGTAATGTAAGGCCGAGTCTGATAAAGATACTACAAGAACTTGTGGTGACACCAGATTGGCTAGTGAAATCTCAGTACAATAGAAAGGTGATTCGATCTCTCCAGAGTGTCGTGCAGGCGGTCGGATCTAGGCCCTAATGAAGGAACTGGAGAATGTCAGGCAATGGAATTCCAGATAGATAATACATAATATCTGTATGGAGTTATGAAGGTTCTGTGACACTAAGTAGCATACGTACTAGAGTCAACTATATAATAGCTGGGACCAAAGTCACAGCGAGACTTGCCGAAGATATAAAAAAATAAAATAAAAAATAAATAAATAAACTTTTGCTCTACTAAATCAATTTGAATGATTTAACTATCAAAATGATCCTCTCAAAGAGAGGATTCTAACAAGCCTAAAATCATAAAAATTCAATTACTAGATCCCGAGATCAATCTAGACTTGTATACTATTATACTGTATAAATACTATACAGTATATTACTATAGCATAGTATATATAATAATATACAAATATAGATTGATTTCAGGATCTAGTAATTGGATTTTTATAATTTTGGGCTTGTTAGAATTTCCTATTTGAGAGAATCCTTTTGGTAGTTAAATTATTCAATTTGGCCCAGTATAACAAAGTTATTTATTATTAAATTTTATATATATTATTATATAAAATTAAAAATAAAATACTAAAATTTGATTGGCTAATGAGGTGTCATATGTGGGTGGTGTCACAGGCTAATTTATAACTTTTGTCACAAAATAACCTAATCTGGATATGGAGCACTTAATTGCTTTGCTAATACTGGATTTCAAAGTTTATACTAAGGCAAGTATTTTACTTGTTATTCAAATGTGCTTTATTAATTAAGAGGAATACTAATACTAATAAAGATTAACTCAAACTTTTCCTTTATTATTACTATCACTTCGATTCTTATACATATTTGACTCTAATCGTTACATCATATATTAATTATATGACTATTGTCTTTTTAATTGATTACATACTTTATTCGATTGTTCATGTATAACTTACTAATAAACTAGTTTGTACTACTTATTAATGCGTAATTGATTCATCTATGATATATTGAATATCTTACTTTGGTATCTCAACCATATTATCGACTGCCCATAATCCCGATTAATAATCACGTATACAAGACACTAATCGATCGATCACTTTTACTTTTATCTTTACACATGTTCACTACATATTACATATCACCATAATACAAGCTAGAGCCCCGGAAACTTCGTCCTTGAAGTTTCTAGCACCTACAAGCTCTATTTTCTAACAATATTTGCACAACCAATCCCCAAATTCGCATAATTTTTCACAACTTCTGTATTAATATTCTTCCACATTCAAATATACTTCTTATTCAGATTTCAAGTAAGCATTCACCTTTTCTATATTCTTTCTTTTTTTTAAGCTTCTCTTCTTATTTTTAACCATTTTATTGATCCTTGTTTTTCTACTACCATCTACATAATTATTCTTTCTGCATTTCACTTTTCTATTATTGTTTATTACTACTGCACCTCTATTTGTAATGTTCATATCTTCATTTGTTCCACTAACTATCTCTCTTCTCTGACTTATTTCTTCTTTGTTCTCAACCACTGTAGACTTCATAATCTTATTACTATCAATATCACCATCATTAATATTATCGTTCATACCTCTGTCTACATATAAATACCATTCAAGCCCTATTGGATTATCTGATTCAGTATTCGCCAGCTTATTTGAATCGGCAGGTGATTTATCAACTTCATCCATATTTGATGATTTATAATCACTCTTTTCATCTTTATTTTCATCATATTTATAATAATTATCATTAAATGTTTTATTAACATTATTTATGTCTTCAGATTTTCGATGATAAACTAATGCTTTATATTTGTCTTTTTCAACATTATCATAGATTTTCGCCTTGCCAAATTTCTTGTCATTCGAATAAACTTCAGCTCTTTTATCTGAGCTAGTATCCCAAAGTTTTCTTTTTCAGCTAGGTTTTGGCACGAATGGAATGCCTTATACTTTTCCTTTTTATCACCTATTCTACTAAAATCACCCATATTGGAGGATTTTTGATAATGAATAAAAACTTTATATTCATCGCTTCTAATACCTATCTCTGTATTATTACAGTATTCAAGAACATGTTCATTCAAATTATCATCTTTATCAGCTCCAATTCCATAATGATGACAATAATCTTTATCATTAGTTTCGCTGACTTCATTCATATCTTCAGATTTTTGATAATAAATAATCGCTTTATGTTTATCCTTTTCAATACCAATTTCATAATAGTAACAATGTCCAACAAATGGTCCATTAACATTACCTATATCAGCAGGATTTTGATAGCAATCAACTGCCTTATACCGAACCTTATCATCACCAATTCCGCCTTTCGTTCATCTATTTTATCTCCAATTCTATGATGATGACAATAGTCATTATTATATATTCCATCAAAACCACCCATATTTCCAGATTTTTGATAATGAATAATTGCATTGTGTTTATCTTTTTCAACATCAACACAATAATGATGATGGCCTTTATTAAAAATTCTATTAGCATCCTCAATTCTGTTGACTTTTGATAATGTTTAAATGTTAGACCACTACTTTTAATTATTTTTTCCTAATCTATTTTCAGATTCTAATCTAGGTTTTACAAACGATTCTCCATCTTCAATGTACTCCAAATTCGATTCGTTAGCAAGATATTTACCACTACATAATTCATTAACATTTTCTTTATCAACAGATTTTCGGCAAGATTCGAATGCTTTAACTTTATTATTTTCGATCTTTTTCTCATCAGGACTTTCAGGTAAGTTCTCCATTTTTGATAATGATAACTGAGCAGTCTTCTTCTTCAAGCTTGCCCCAAGTTAATTGCAACTCTGTGCATTCGGCTAAATGGTCTTATATCTCGCATTCTTGTAAGCAGATCTTGCACGTGTCATTCATATATAAGTCTCTTTTTCTTTGTTTTAAAACTTGCATTGTTGGGAGTAAACCGTTAAGACACTTGATTTTAAAAATTCAATCTTTGTAAGCTTGAGAGCTTGTGCATTTTCTTCCTTTGACTTTACTTATATTTTTCCAAACCTCTCCCCAGTCTACTTCATTTTCTTTGTGGATTGACCCAACCCATTTGTTAATACTTTTCATACTTTTCCACTCAGTGTTAATAACTAGATATATAAGCTGTGTAACAAAACCTCTAGTTGCATCGTCTACACGTATCTCTTGTCATCTTATCTTAGTGATTGATCGTTTGTTCCAAGGCCATTTCGGGTTTAGGAGCAAAGAACTATTTACCCCTTCCTTTGCAAGTTTGTCAGTCTTTTCGTTGCCTTGCACCCCACTATGTGCTTTGATCTTGTTAAATCGCACTCTTAGTTCTTTAAGTTCAATTGTTCTCGATATTTGTTCTAGAAGGCAGAGATTTTTCTTTTTAACTATATTACTTGGCTTGGTTTTGTTTTGGCTTGCTTGAATTGCCTAAATTGATGCTGCACTATCTGTATAAATATTTACTTTAGCCTTGTTTGGTGCAGTTAATAAGGCTGTCTATATTGCACCCAGTTCAGCTCTTGTTGATGATAGCCAATTTTTTATAGCTCCCTTAAATTCTGCTATATAGTTTTTACTCTTCTTGGCTTTATTTTCTATAGTGACCACCCATCCTATTCCCATTTGCCTTCTTTCTGGGTTCTTTGTAGGGTTCAATAATAACCCATCTGTGTAGAAGGATATCTTTCTGTGTGGCTTCAGATGTGTTGCTAATTGTTTTAACTCCTCTTTGATTTGTATACCTTCGAGAGCTTGGTTGATTATCTCTTTTTCTAATGGATAGATAAGAATTTCTTCTGCCAAGTTCTCATACTCCTCATCATTGTGGCCTTTGAGTACCTCTGGTCCAAAGTGTGTATCTAATAGGCAGCTTACAGAGACCACTAGCTCTCTTATGTGTACTTGAGAGTCTACTTTTTTGACAAGATTTGGGTTTATAACGACTGCTCTGTTTTTTAACTTCTTCTTTTTTAGGCATGATTCTGGTATTGTGTTTTTCTCCATATTCTGTTCACAACCTAAGCACTTCTTGAATCTAATCGAGCTGTTATCTGGGTTCAGAATCGTTTTTCAATGCTCTATTACGAGAGTTTTGTGCCTCTTCTTTTCATTTACTTTCCCAATTCTCATCTCATTCTTTCTGTTTCTTAGCAATATCCACTCTCTTTTTCTTTTGTTATTGTCTATAATAAAGCATGTAATTTTTGGACTTAAAGTGTTTATTGCTTTGGTTTTGAAGTCGGGTTTAATTGTACAGCTCTTTTTATTTTCTAAGACCTTTTTCTCGATGCTTCTAAACTATTCAGGCACTTTGCCGGCAGCTTTGCATTGTTTATATTGCTTAATTTGTTTCTATGTAAGCAATTTGCTACCTGTTTCATCACATAATTGCTTTAACACAAAGATTTCTGTCTTTTTTTCTTAAATGAAGCTCTTGATCTGTTTTGGCTCTAGTAAGTTTACTATCTCAATATCTTCTTCTATAAGTTCAAGGCTTTTTTCCATCTCTTCTGATCTAAAACTTAAGTTCATTTGTTTCGCCTCTGTCACAATTTTGTAGATTAAGTTTTGCTTGAGGTGTATTTTCCTCAATCTTGCTAGTTCCAGGTCTAGAATGCATCTTGTACTTTTGCAATCTATTTGTGCTTGCCAAATTCTAATCCATATAGCTTCTCTAAGATCACCTTGGCTATTTATTCGTTTCCTGAGCTCTGTTACATGATATGCTATTTGGTTTTGCCAGATTGTTTTTAGCCCTGCTATGTTTTTATGCACTAGTATAGCATTGGCTGATATAATGGCCAGATCAGATTTATTCTTTATCAGCTATACCAGAGGGCTCTGCAACTTGTCGCACTGTTCTTTTAAAAGGACACTATGTTGTAGCCTATACTCCAATCTTGGCAATAGTACTCTGTTGTTGATATAAATTAGCTGTGCTAGTATCAAACTTTTTTTTTTTTTTTGAGTTAAGGAGATCTCTTTGGCCTGAAAGCTTTTATTAGGATTTGAAACGGTGTTTTATACGCAATTACAATGATGGTACATCAAGCCAC